GTAAATTGGAGGGGGAGATGAACCATGAGAGACAATGGACTCTGAAAAACAAACTGAGGGTTGTAGAGGGGAGGGGGGTGAGGGGATGGGTTAGCCTGGTGATGGGTATTAAGGAGGGCACGTTCTGCGTGGAGCACTGGTTGTTATACGCAAACAATGAATCATGGAAAACTACATCAAAGACTAATGATGTAATATATGGTGATTAACATAATAAAAAAACTAAGGATGTAATGTATGGTGATTAACATAATAAAAAAAAGCCACAGCATTTCTCATTTAGGCAAGAAGAATGTACTTTTCCACACATTTTCCCTAGAGTAGCTAGGGAAACTCAATTATATAGAATTCATAGAACATATTGTCCAAGGGTTAAATGACCCTGCCTTTTTCTCCTATGGTCCTTTTTGTAATTGTTAACAATGTGGATGTTACTTACTTTGTTCCACTGGGAATATGTAATAGAAGGTATTAATAATAATCCCCACTGGAAGATCAGACTTGTACATCTATTACTAGCTCTCCAAAGCTTCAATTGATCAGTTAGATAAAACCATGCTACTACTCCAATTTGACAAAAGTAAAAAAAGCATCTATAAATATCACTACTTGAAAGAGAGTAACCCCACAACAGAAAAACTGAAGAATTAAATTTACATCTCAACATGCATTATATCAGGTAAGCTATATTTAAAAAAGAAATACAGTAGAAATAGATTGTGTCCAGTTACATATTCAATTATTATACTCTAACTTAGAGAAGATCTATAAATGGGAGAAAAATGTATTAGAAGTCAAAATAAGTGAATCAAATTGAGGATGTCCATGTGTCTTAGCATGATTTAGAGAATTTGTCAGAAATTATGTACAGAGGTGGAGCTACCCTTTGAAGATTATGACAAACTCTGTACTTAAAAAATGCATTTTGACACTCTTACCTATAGCTAAAGAAACTAAATAAAAATGCAAATCAAGGCTATATATTTCTTTGTGGACATATGCCTATGCAGTAAAGCTCTTTTAAAAAATCATGGGAGCACTGGTGTTATACACATTACATCAAAAACTAATGATGTAATGTATGGTGATTAACATAACATAATAAAAAATTCATGGGAATGTTAAATACCAAGCTCAGGTCATAGGCTTGTAGTTGTATATCTTTGCATTAATGATTTATTTTACTTACTATGCACTTAAAGTAGATCAGAAAAAAATTCCTTAATTTTATAGAATTAGAGTGAAAATTTCTTCTCTTTTAAGTACCTTACTTCTATTATTTTTTAAAAAGTTGGTAAACAAAATATGGTTTACTTTTAATACAACAAATAATCCATTTTCTCTATGCTATGATTCAAAAGGATTATTTTATCCCCTTTGCTTTTGCTGGTTTGATTACTGGCACGGATTTTAATGACTTAAGTATGAGCTTATATTACTAATAGGATAAAATGTTCTTGTTCCATGTAGAAATGAAGTTTATGTAAGTGGCTAATGGTTTGTAGAGTTCGAGGTCTATCACTGGGAAGGTCTCTGTGCACAGATTATAAGGTGAAAAGGTTGAATAAATGACAGACATAAGGTGAAATATACTTCAGTTAACACTAAAACACATTTGTGAAAAATATTCCATGCACATCTATATACCAAGTCCTGTGAAAGATACATAAGAGGCATGAGAATACAAGGAACACTGAATATGGCAGGAGAAGAAGATCTACACAAAAACTCTTACTTTGGAAGAACACATAATCTACATCCAAGCAAAGTGATACAGCAACATTAGTAAAGAGAAATTTCAACTTAAGCCTCTAGAAAGGCTTTTAGAGGAGATGGCATTTGCACTGGAATAGATTATCTATGAAGGGCATCAGAAAATGAAAATGTCTACTAGTTAATAAATGTTGAATAGTCTGGTTATGTCTAGAGAGTAGCAAGGGGTAGAAGTAAAACCAGACCATATATTATATGCTTGGCTGTCATGCTAAGGACTTTAAATTTTACTATTTTACTTCAAGGAGTGATGAACTGTTACAAGTGGGAGAATGAGATCCAGGAAAAAGTAAATTTACAACCTGGAAGAATAATAGGGACAGTTACATAGTGAAGAAAAGTTTAAAGGGAAAAAGAGCTGACCTGAGGAGAGAAATTGTGAGCTGTGGTCTGAGACAGCTGTATAATATTCACATCCAGTAAACTGTCAGAAACATGTTTGGATTACTGGAGTATAGTGAGAAATGGTGCTGCAAAATTTGAAGTCATCACACAGTAGTGAATGGAATGCCCAAGGAGGAGAGGGAAAAAAGAGAAGAAGAGAGACTAATGAGAACATAAAGTAAGAGAGAAAGAGTACAAGGTGTGCAGAAGGGGAAGGGACAAATCTGGAAACTTAGGCTAGGTCCTCAGTGGAAATCTATTTATAAGGGGCAGTGCATAGATGAAGGAATAATAATATAAATAATAATAAATTAATAACATTAATTAAAGTAGAAAAAATTTCAAGAGGATCACCAGGAGTTGTTTCACTTAAAACAAAATTAGCTATCATAACCAGGTCTTTCCCAACCAGAAGATAGCCTTTGATAAAGAAAGTTTTCCTTATTGTGGTAGCAAAAGACATAATTGAGTGTGGTAAGGTCTGAGTAGGTAGAAAAGCAACTCAAGGTAGAAGAATTAGGAAATTTTTTTTTTTTTTGCTTATTTCTTGAATGAATCAGACTGAGTCCTTTGTCAGTAGATACAAAGATTAAATGACAGTGGGAGAGACTAAAAATGCAAGCTAAAGATGGCTTAACTCAGAGGTTCTAAACTCAAGGTGACCCGTGCCCTCCCTGATACTTTGCAATGTCTTAGATACATTTTGATTGCCACAACAGGGAGGTAAGTGCTATTGGCATCTAGTGGGCAAGACGAGGGATGCTACTAAACATTTTACAGTGCACAAGTCTTCTTCCTAAGAAAGAATTATCCAACCCCAAATGTCAATAGTGCCCAGGTTGAAAAACTTGGCTTAAATGACGAACCAATACTTCATAGCTGGTGGAAAGATAAGAACCAAAAGCATATATTGAGGAACTATTCAATTGTAGCACAGTGTAAATGGTATGGGTTTCACATCATTCAGATCTAAAGCTGTAGAATGTAGCCTCAGAGAGAGCTAGCCCTGAAGTCAAAGGTCTGGGTTCAATTCTAGTTCCTTGACTTTCCAGGTATGTAACTCTAGAGAAGTTACTTATCATCTCTGTTACTCTGATTTCTTACTGCAAAATGGGATTGTGTTTACCATGTAATATTATGGGGAAATTCAATTAATTTACATAAATGGCTTGGAGATTACTAAATTTATCTGATCCTTGGTTTTCTCCTCTGTAGGTCTGGAATAATAATGCCTTCACCCTCAGGTCTCTTGTACAGATCACTTGATGTAACATAAACACAAACATCTAACTCAACTGATGCTGCTTAGCAAGGTTTCAACAAATCCAAGCTTTCTTTTCCATTCTTTTTTATATTTTAAAATTATTATTGGGCGCCTGGGTGGCTCAGTTGGTTAAGCGACTGCCTTCGGCTCAGGTCATGATCCTGGAGTCCCGGGATTGAGTCCCGCATCGGGCTCCCTGCTCAGCAGGGAGTCTGCTTCTCCCTCTGACCCTCTTCCCTCTCGTGCTCTCTATCTCTCATTCTCTCCCTCTCAAATAAATAAATAAAATCTTTAAAAAAAATAAAAAAATTATTTATCACTAAAAAATCTACCACATTTGTTAATTTATATACAATATATTTATACAATAAACATTCCATTAGGTAGAGTTCATTTTACATAATAAATCCATAAACCTGAGGAAGAATAACTTTATTTTAGAAATGTGGAAACAAAAAAGAATCACACACAGAATAAGGAAATAATATAATCTACAGTATATTTCAGAATCCTCAATTTTTGCTCTTTTCTACACAATTATAATAAATACTGATTCGTTATTGCTAATGAATTCACTTAATTTTTCTTCTTAATTATTTGCTCTGACTCCAGAGTCCACAAAAGGTGTATCTGAAATGTGGACCAAATGTGTTTCTCTGAACATTCTAATGAGTACATGAAATGATTCTGTACTTGAGGGCTTCCCTGTATGGAATGTAATTACACTGCCGGGTTGGAAACTTTTTAGTTTTCCCTTCATCCCTTCTAGGTTCTTTAGCTGATCTAATAATTAAATTGACATATGAGAGATTAAAAGGAGAAAAGGGAATTTAATTTTTTTTGCACAGGAATCCCATAAAAAATATGAGACTCAAACAAGTGACCAAAGCAGGAAGCTTTTATATCTTTTAGACAAAGAAACAACACATTTGTGAAAAACTGACAAGATAAAGGGGTTTGGGATTGAGGTATTAAATTAGTGAAGAAGTAATAATAGTTATTTATATAGCCTTCTCAGCCCTGAACTCCCTACGTCTGGTGATAAGGATGCCTTCTACCCTCTTGGTATAGGGAGGGTACCTTTCACATGGGACATTTATCTCTCACTTTCAGGGGAACAAAGGAGGCTTAGAGTGTTCTTCTTGCACTTCTGTTTCTCAAGTAACTTTAATTCAAAATAATATGCCAAGGTGGTATATTTTGGGATGCTATATTCTGCTCCCCTTCAACATCCATCTACATGAATGGCTATGTTGATCAAAGGATACAAAGTTTCAGATGCAAGGTGAATAAGTTCCACAGATCTAGTGTACAGCATGGTGACTTTAGCTAGGAATACCATATTATATACTTGAAATTTGCTAAGAAAGTGGATCTTAGTTCTCACCGGAAGGAAGGAAGGAAGGGAGGGAGTTCCTTCCTACTCTCCAGATATGGAGATCTCTTCAGCATTTCTTATTCAGCAAATACACATTATATCTGGGGTCTCAGAATCCTTTGCATTACAAGTCTGTGGTTCAGAATTCTGATCCCTTCCTATTTCCCCTCCCTTAGGATTGTTGCAGAGCCCTCCTGCAGCCTGGATCCATGGATAAGGTCAATTCTTCAGTGGTGTCTGAATTTGTATTGCTGGGACTCTCTAGTTCTCAGGAGCTCCAGCTTTTCTTTTTTGTTTTCTTTGTGTTATATGTGGTCATTGTGCTGGGAAACCTTCTCATTATCATCACAGTAACTTCTGACAACAGCCTGCACTCCCCCATGTACTTCCTCCTGGGAAATCTTTCCTTTGTGGACATCTGTCAGGCTTCTTTTGCTACCCCTAAAATGATTGCAGATTTTCTGAGTGAACATAAGACCATCTCCTTCAGTAGCTGCATTGCCCAGATATTCTTCATTCACCTTTTTACTGGAGGAGAGATGGCACTACTTGTCTCCATGGCCTATGACAGATACGTAGCCATATGCAAACCCCTACGCTATGTAGTCATCATGAGTCGAAGGATGTGCACTGTCCTGGTAATGGTCTCCTGGGCTGTGGGCTTGGTGCACACATTAAGCCAGTTATCATTTACTGTGAACCTGCCTTTTTGTGGACCCAATGTAGTAGACAGCTTTTTTTGTGACCTTCCTCGAGTGACCAAACTTGCCTGCCTGGACTCTTACATCATTGAAGTACTAATTGTAGTCAATAGTGGAATCCTTTCCCTAAGTACTTTCTCTCTCTTGGTTGGCTCTTACATCATTGTTCTTGTCACTGTCTGGTTTAAGTCTTCTGCTGCAATGGCCAAGGCATTTTCTACACTGGCTGCCCATATCACCGTAGTAATATTGTTCTTTGGACCTTGCATCTTTATCTATGTGTGGCCCTTTACTACTTACCCTGTGGATAAACTTCTTGCCATATTTTACACCGTTTTCACCCCCATTCTAAACCCCATTATTTACACACTAAGGAATAGGGATATAAAGGCTGCCATGAGGAAGATTATGACCTATTACCTGAGGCCCAAGAAGATTTCTGAAATTCCACTAGTAGCGAGGAATTCCTTTTATTAAGACACAATTCCTTCAAATTCCTCAAATTGATTCTATAAATATTTTCAGTGTGTTCTTGTGGCATATCTCAACTATGGTCAAAGTGAAAAGAAGTGAGTGATGTGAAAAGTGATGAAGAAGATGATATAGACAGTATCTAATGGATATTAACTAGTCCCTTCCCAGGTATGGGAATATCTTGTGGCATATCTCAACTATGGTCAAAGTGAAAAGAAGTGAGTGATGTGAAAAGTGATGAAGAAGATGATATAGACAGTATCTAATGGATATTAACTAGTCCCTTCCCAGGTATATCCTAAGCAAAAGCTAAATATCAAAAAATATGGAAAAATATATCATGATTACTGGTTCTGGAAATAAAAAAAACAGAATGACTATATGTGGATAGTATCAATACTTTCACTGCTTTAGCTGCAGGTAAATATGAATATGGTAGGGAAAAAAAAGGAGTACCTGATTCTTTGGTAAGCATAAATTTAGACATTTTTCCTGATCTTAGGAGTTTCCTATTTATATGCCTGAAAATCTATACAGATGAATAATATTTAAGAATGTGAAACTGAATTTTCCCAATCAGAAGATAGCCATTCCACTGATTTAAGTGTGTAGACTTAAGTGGAGACTCTTATTATGAAATCCCTCCCCTAACATCAATTATGCCTATCCCATATTATTTCCCAATAACTAACAATGCTTTAAAATGAATTATACAACATCAGGAGCTTGCATTTCAAATCTTTCAGTTAATGGTCTTTCTATGATCAGTTAAGGTAATTTCAGTTTCCTCTGAAAACACTGACCTTTTAGTCTATGCTATAAGTAGCTACGCAACAGTCTTTGCATTTGGACCAAACATGGAGTTCTTAGTGACAGTGAACCAATGATAAACATACAATCCAACTGCATCCTGGACCCTGAAGGATCTCTGGATCTCTACCTTGAACTCTAGGGACCACTAGGGGATTTTTAAATGTTGATTAAGGTTTTTAAGGGTTTTTTTTTTTTTTTTTGATGCTTCTCAAATTTTATTTTTATATTTTTTAATTTAAATTCAATTAGCCAACATAGAGTATATCATTAGGTTTTGGTGTAGTGTTCAATGATTCATTAGTAGTTTTTATTTTCCAGAACTCCTCAATTCATAAAAGGGAATTAGACAAACATAAATATTATTCTCTTCTTTATGCTGAGGATGAAAACACTAGTTTTGCTTTTTGTTGTTTGCCTTCTTACCTTCCCAATTCCATCTCATCTTCTCTGAACCCAACTGTAATAAAACATCATTAAGTAAAATATTGAAAAAACCTTGGGAATTTCCTCTTCTCCCACCCCACTCAATTTTTTCTCTCTCCATAGCTTTCTAGTTCTTCTGAGACCTGATATTTTTTGCTCTTTTCTACTCTCAAAGCTTACCTTCCCGTAAGGGTAGCATAACAGTAATTTACACTTCAGTGTAAATTTAAATCCATCAGCTACTTCTTCCAGGAATATATACACATTCATTTCTTTCTAATTTTAGGATACAATTCCATCAGTAGTGAGAGGGGAGAGCTAGCAGCTTAGATCTGCAACAGGGGCAGAGAGAAGAGACCTTACCCATGTTTCCTGACTCTATACCATGCAGGCTGCCTTGTATTCTACTCAGGGAATGAGGTCCAGCCTTACTATTCCCCTTCTTCTTGAATAAAGGATATGTACTGTATGATTTTCTCTTAATCAGCTTATAGTGCCAAAGTATTAGGGAGGCAGAATTCATTAAAAAGCTTATTAATTTCATTCTTACCCTAATACAAAACTGAGCCTTCTTGTTAGGTATTTTGTAAAAATGTTATGTTAAATATAGTAAACAATGAGAATGACTGTGTTAAGAAATTCAGAAAGTATGTAATCTGGTTAACTGTACCAGTTACTAGCTACTCAGGTACTCAAGACATTCTTTGACTATGAGATTCTTTTGAAAATATGATAAACATCATAGCTTTCCTTCCCAAACAACAGCATAAACACTTAAATATAAGATTGAATATACATTAATATTTTACTTCAGAAACTGATTTCTGGTTTTCAGTTAAAAAAAAATGACTGTAGAGTGATCTTTAACAGGGGAAAGTATATGTTGTCTATGATACTGAATTAATCTTAAACTTTTATCTTACTGGAATCCTTGAAATATAGTAAGTATTAAGAAATGGAGTCTGGGGGCACCTGGGTGGCTGGGTCGGTTAAGTGTCACACTCTTGATTTGAGTGTTGATTTGATCTTGACTCAGGTCAAGATCTCAGAGTCCTGAGATCCAGCTCAGCCTGGAGTCTGCTTCTCTCCCTCTCCTGCTGCCCCTCCCCCCACTCACATGTGCTCTCTCTCAAATAAACAAATCTTTTTTTAAAAAAAGAAATGGACTCTGAATTTTCATAGCTAATATTGACAGAAGAGGAATTGTTTGAGTCAAAGAACTCTAAATTTTCCCAAATTCTTTGGATTTTTTTCACATGGCATCACGTATGTTCCTTACGAACAAACAAATTATTTTTGCAAGGTCTCCTTCAAGAACAGATGAAGTGCTATTTATATTTCAGTGAAGTTCTTCCAAAGAGTGCCTGGAAAGCCAGCAATTTTTCTTGTAACAGAGAAAAACACATTTTATTCTTAATTCTTGGTATAATCTCTCGACAAGCTGTATATTTAAAGTCCTACATTTTGAATGTTGACAATATTAACTACTTTCTTAGACACAATTTCAGAGCTGTTAGAAGAATTTCTAGTTAATGCATGCCAGGAAAAACAGCAATGATCACAATAATGTGTGGAGTTTCCTCTCATCAAAAGAGTAACAAGAGCAGGTAAGTTGCTGAAAATAAAATTCTCCATTTTATAAAGAAGAATCATATTTTTTCCTTTGTGTATTTCTTGACAAGAAGCTCTATAGATTTTCAGTTTGTTGTCTCTTGACATCAAGTCCACCCTTCATTGGTGTGCTTTGTGATACCAGACCTGGACTCAAAACCTTTCGCCTTTGTCATGAGAGGATGCTGGATGAACACTACAGAAAAAAAGAGGCTTTTCTTTCCACTTCCAGTGTCTGTAATTTCTTCCTCCTACCGTGCAGCTGCCATGGGCCACCCAGTGGCACTCATCCTCCAGCAAGTTTTGTTGCCAGTCAGCATTTCATTTCCTGCTCCTCATTCCTTCCATCTTGGACTGCCTTTGTTCTTATCGAGGGAACCTATTCATAAGCTCTCCAGAGAGTTCTGAAACTCACCTTTGGGGAGGGGATCCCCCTTCCAAGTTTATTCCTTCCTTGGGTTCTGTCCTTTAGCCCTAGCGCATTATTTGGAGTTCTCTTTCATCCCTTTTTTATAATCTTCATTACCAGTTGCTAAGTCTTCCTATTTAATATTCCCTGTTCAAAATACCAGTGTAGTTTCTGTCTCCTGATGGCACTCTGACAGAGAAACATTTAAGTATTTAGAAGATATTGAAAAATCAGAAGCATCTAAAAGTGGTTCATAAAATATGACATGTTATGAGGAAACTCAGGAGCTGGCTGAAGCAAAAAATGTTAGCGGTTTCATCTGTTTATACACTGAAGTGAAATTCATCCACAACATATTTCAAAATATGCAAAATCCTAGCATCTATGACGTGTATGATATCATTTGCAAACTATTTAAATTTTTTTCTTGTAAGACAACAAATGAAGTATTTACTAACTTAAAAAAAATAAAATAAATAAAATTTCATTGTCTGCTCCAAGCCAGTATGACTATGTCCATAGCAAAAGTTTGTTTTTGTTTTTGCTCATTTGTGTCTCCCCATTGATGGATTTTTTTTTTTTTTAATGTGATAGGAAACCTTGTAGAGTGCTCTGTAATGAGGGAAAATGGAGAATTCAAGTGTATGGAACACTGAATCCTTAAAGTTTGTATTAAAGTTTTAATCATCAGTCCCCTTTTTCATGAAAAGATCCTACTGAAGAACTTTCCATTTGAAAAGATAATTCTGCTTGTTATCTTTACCCTGCAGGTCTTAAGACCACTGCCAAGGCAGAAGCAGCACCACTCTGTGTTATTGCATTTGTGTGTCATACATTCAATGATAAAAACAAACAAAATATAAAGCCAAGAGTTCATAGACTTTAACAAACTTTTTTTCATAAAATACTTCAGATTACTCTAGTTCCAATAAAGCAGAGACATTCATAATACTAAAACCAGTGAGTTTTTAATTTACTTTCTATCAACTATTCAAGGTAACTAGCAATATATTTCAGCTGCAATTGAAACATTAAGCGCAGTAGAATCCAATGTTATATTTTGTTTAAAACAAATCTTAATATAGTTTGGTAATAATTTTTTTTCATACAGGTATTTTTAAATGATAATTTGAAATACTCTTTTTTTTTCTGTCTGGTTCACTTTTCCTATACCACTGAGAAACTGACAGAGACATAAATTTAACTGCATAAAAATGGGGAAATAAAAGCACATTTTAGAAATCTGAAAATAACTTTTGCACTGCTTGTCAAAAGACTTGTCCAATCCAAGCACAGACTATATTATTATTATGTGCTCTTGAGTAGATTACTTGCTTTTGATCAGGTCCCCTCCTTAAAATCTTTCAATTCCTATCCATTACTCTTAGGACAAAAGGAAAAAGAATCCTCATTAACCCAATTAATAAGGCTCTTGGCTCTCTACTCATACCACCACACTCACCCACATCCTCATTTAATTAATACGGTTCTCCCTCACAGAGGTAAACTCCACAAGAACAGGGACTTTGTCTATGGCAGATGAACATATTCTAAAGTGTTTTTCATAGTGTGATTATTTTTAAAAAGTAGATGTGGTACCAAAAGCCAGGGCAGACTTGTTTGTTCCCTCATCTCTCAGAGTGTAAATTACTTCTGCTATATGTATGAGCTAATACATATAGCAGAAGTAGTAGATGAGTAACACTTCAGACAAAGAACAGAAACTTAATGCATAGCTCAGAGAATAAAGGAGCTGAAGTGATGGAACAGACTCTAGAGAGAGAAGACAATATGGCCAGTGGAAAGTGTACCTCAAGATGCTAG